ACATACATACATACATACATACATATGCATATTTAAAGAGAACGAGCGCTGGCTGGTTGCAAAATGAGTAAACTGAGAAAAAAAAATTGTATTTGTGGCAGTTGCAAGTATGCGCTACTAACTAACTTGGCTTAAATGGTAGTCGTAGTAGTAATATTGGCAGTGGGACTGCCTGCTGCCAGCTAACTGCTAACTGCTAAATGAAGCGACAAAAATGCACACACACTCACACACACACACATACACACACTTACATATATTTAACTACACAACGAATATATTACCAGCTGCTGCTTTTTGAGCAAGTTTTTATGGTTCTCTGCAATAAGGCCAACAACAACAAACGCTGCGCATCATTGCACCAATCAGCAAAAATTAATAATAAAATAAAATTTAAAAAAAAACTGATATAAAAACAAAAACAAAAAAACAACAGAAAAACAGCAATAAAATTACAACAACACCAAATACTTATGTGTGTTGTCTGTTGGAGCTAGGCTTACAGCCGGCTAAAAGTCGCCAGCACCATGCAACAAGCATATTCACACAGCTGCAGCTACTTATAATGCAATGTTGTAGTTGTTGATGTTATTGTTGTTTTTGCTGCTGCTTGTATGATCATCAAAGAGTTGCTGCTGCTGTCAACTGCGTCACAAATACCGTTGAAAAACAACAGTATGTAAGCGTAAACACACACATACATACATACGAGTGTAGTAAGGTATCGAGAGACCCTTCAACTCTGTTGGCACACACACACACACATACGCAGCCACTCGCATGCCCGACCAGTTTTTGTTGTATTCGCATTTTAGTTACTCATTTCTTATTATATTATTGCTGTTGTTGTTGTTGTTGCTGCTGCTGCAGGACGGGTAATGTTATTAATATTGTCAATACATATCTCATAGCAACAGCAATACACCTGCCGCCACCATCATCATTTATTGTTGTTTTACTACTGCTGCTGCTGCTGCTGCTGCTGGTATCTTTAATTTTTGCGACGAATTAATGTGTATTAATGTAGCGTGCCATACACACACAAACACACATACATACATATGTAGCTGTATTTGCGATTAAGTAGAATGAAAATGTTGCGCGGAAAACAAGGTGCGCCGTCGCCACATGCCAACTGTAGTTTAGCTACTATGTTTATATAGTTTGTTGTTTTTGCTTATTTTTATTAAACTTGTGACTCTTCTGTTGCTTGCAGACGTTAGTATGAATTTTGCCTTCAACTCATATTTCATGTTGTATTGGAATAAAAGTGTTGATTTGGCAACAGCAACCGTTTTGAGAAAAACCAAAAAAAAAAAAAAAAAAAAAAAAAAAATTGTGTCTATCAAGTGCTGCTCAATTTCACGCAACATGTTGCATTCGTTATAAATTTATTCAAGTAAAAAAATGTTGCCAACGGGTTAGGTTGGAAGATAGGCTTACTACACAAAATTATATCTTTAGACAATAATGAAATAAAAATTTTAATTCAAAGTATTGATGCAGAAAGTTGTTGCAACATGTTGCGCGGCTTTAAAAATGTTGCTAAGCAGTGAAACAGTAATTTTGAAGGGTTTTAAGCTACATCTCAGTACACTCGCATTAATTGCAAGCTCAAAAGGTTTACAAATTAAAATAAGCTTCATTACTGAGCCAGGAAAGTCGTTGTCAACATGTTGCCAGCAAGTTGGAAGAAAGGTGGATTACAACAAAATATGTTTTTAGACAATAAACTTTGATGACGAATAATTTTCATTAAAGCAATGTTGCAGAAATTAGGTTGCAACATGTTGTTCGACTTCAAACATGTTGCTAAGCAGTTAAACAGTAATTTTGAAGGGTTTTAAGCTACATCTCAATGCACTCGCATTAATTTTCAAGCACAAAAACGCTTATAAATTATTTAAAGGCTTATTTTTTGGCGCCATAAAACTCGTTGGCAACATGTTGCTTACTAAAATTAAATTAATTTAATTAATTTATTAAAATAAATTATTTAATGTAATAAAAAAATACTATTTTCTTGCTTAGCCTAGAGGCCACGAAAATAATTTGCGCTACATAACGCCTACTAAATTCAGCGAATGTTTTTTTGAATAACAAATTTAATAATTACATAGTTAAAAGTAAGACAAACATAAACGTGTATACAAAAAAAAAAAAAAAAAAAAAAATGTGTGAAACTTCCATGCAGCAATTGGCGTGTAGGCACAGATAACAGTACAAAACAGCTGACTACGCTTGCATACAAAATCACTTGATGTCGCAAAAGTGCTCGTAAGCGGTAAATTTGTATGTATATATATATAATATATGAGTAAGCTAACGCCTACAAAAACTACAAAAATACAATAACGAAACGAAAATTATGCCACCAAATATGCATAACTCCTGGTTAAATGCGTGACGAAAAATGAATACCAAGCAGCAAAAAAAAAAAAAAAAAAAATAATAATAATAATAATAAAGAAGAGAATATAAAAAAATTAAAAAGTAAATATATATAAAACCAAAGACAAAAACAACCAACTGTCATACGAAATTTCACTCAGCTGTGCGCTGAACTTGATTTATTTGAGAAATGCATAAATATGAGCGCACATTTTAAAGAAAAAAAAAAAACTAAACAAAAATAGAACTATAAAAAATAATAAAGAATGCCTGAAAAATGAATTCTGTAGACTCAGCACGGTGTATTCTTACACCTGGACGCAAAGCAAAGAGTAAAACTAAAATGAAATATTTAAAACTCAAACTGGTGTCAGGCAAAAGGCGCAAACACACATGCGACTGTGGCTGATTTGTATAATGCAGCTAAGCTAGGAAGCCGCAACAACACAAATAAGGAGCTGCTTGCTGTTGTCGCTGCCACACGCTCGCGGCATAAAAATGTGGGAAAAATTTGAAATTCAATTTTTTTTTGTTTTTGCCTACAATGAATGCATGCCGTTGACGAGTAGTAAGTAAATTAGCACATTTGAAGGTGCTTGTGTGTGTGTATATGTATGTGTGGGTGTGCAAATATGAGTGAGTGCAACGTGCATTCGCCCACGAAATCGTAATGCAAAACCAAAAATGAAATTGAAGATACCAAAGCAAGTAGAGAGAGTGAGAGAGAGAGAGAGAGCGAGACAGAGAGAGAGAATGTGAAAATAATCAGATTTGATTTAAATTTTTAATAACAATAAAAGAGAAAATTTATTTAATATTAAAATAAGATAATTGGAAAATGCGTTCCATATTTTAACATAAATATTGTATATAAAACAGGTGCAACAGCAAGAAAAAATGTTATAAGAAATATACAAAAAGCCTGCTGTAGACAAAACTAATTTAACGGTGTTTGTGGGCGACCACAAAGTTGATGAAGAGCAGCATCAAAGAGACAACTAAGACACACATTCATATACGCAAAGCACAGCAAATGAAACGCTTAACGGGCTGGGTGGTTTTGAGGCCTTACCTACTCACATACCCAGCCAGAGCTGCTTGTGGCATGCATGAAAATACGAGTGAACTAAAAATGCCAACAACAACAATAAAACTTAATAAATATGCAAATAGTTTGCCATTTTATTTATGACTGTGGCAAACAGCATGGCATGCCATACGCCCTTTTAATGGATTAAAGGTAAAACAACAAAATAAAAGTTAGAACAAAAAACCAACTAGACAACAAAGGGCGCTGCTGCTGCACGGCCATAAAAACTCAGCAGCAACAAATTTCGCCGAAAATAAATAGAAATATGTAGAAATATGATTGGGTGAATGGTATACGGAATGCAAAATAAAACCAACCGATTAAATAACTACAAAAGGTGTGCCACAAATGCCGCAGCAGTCAGTCTGCAGTTCGCAGCGACGCCTTAGTGATGATGTTTCAACCGCTAACTGTCAGCCAAAACAAATGCCGCCAGCTTGGGAGTGTTTTGACTACATGACTGCTGCTCTTTGGCTGCATGACTAGCCAAACGCTAATATGACTGCGCAAGGCAGTGTGGCGGTGGCGTCGGTGGTGGAGTGGAGGTGTTTGCCTGTGGCGCATAATAAAAAAAAAAAAATTATCGTACAGGAAAACCATTTTTTGCTGCATTCGAAATTTGAAAACTATAGCGCATGAAAAATAATATTATAATAAAAGGAAATTCAGTACTCGCGGTGACACCTTCAATGCTGAGGATGCGCCATTGTAGCAGAAAAAAAAATAAAACTAATAAATGGAAAAAATGCAACAAACGCTGTACACAGCTCTCGGTTGGACGCGCCCGTCTACTCAAATTCGTACAGCACACACACACACACACACACACACACACACACACACACACACACACACACAGTAGCATAGTTGGCAGGCGTCTGAGGCAAGTGAACGAACGTGCAAAACCAATTTTAATTAGTTGCAAGTAAGCAGAAAAGCGCTGACTGACTGACGGACTGGTTAGTGTTGGCTGTGAGTGACTGCCTGGAGTGGGCTGTGAATAGCAGCGAGGCGCTAGTGTTGATGAGACAGACGCGGCGACACCCAACAAGCAAAGACGATACGAGTCAAGCAAATGTGCGCCACAGCAGCGTTTGTTTGTTCATGAATGGATTCACTGCAAAACAAAGCAATTTTGCAATGGCAAAGATGAAGCGTACAAAAACAAAAAAAAAAAATTAAAATAAATGCAACACAGAACAACAAAAAAAAAATGCATTTAAAAAACCAACATCGCTACCGTAGTGCAGCATGAAAATTTGTTACAATCGCTGCTGCTGCTGCTGCTATCAAATGGGTGGGTGGGGAACGCGCAACCGATTGCAAAGCGTGTGCAGGCGTGTACATTTTATTTAAATGCATTCGTGTGGCTACTATGTTTATATAGTTTGTTGTTTTTGCTTAGCAAATAGTTTGTTTATGTAATAATATTCTACATTTCAATATTTTTTTGTATGTATGTATGTATGTAGACAGATAGCTACACGTATGTATTGTAGATGTTTAGTTAGTTACTTACATGCATTGATTGGGCTTGTCGCAATGACCGTGTTCGCAGCCTTTCGTGCATTCAGCTGTAATGAGAAGGTGAAAAAGCAAAGTGATGAGTAAGATATTTCGTTATATGTAGGTATGAGATAATTGTTTGCAAAAAAAAAAAAAAAAAAAAAAAAAAAAATGTTACAATGATAAAACAATTAATAAATTTCAAAATGCTTCAAGATTACGAAACTTAAAAATAAAAGAAAAACAAATAAGAGAAAAAAATGAACGTTTTAAATAAAGAAAAAGTATTTAAAAAAGATAAAATATTACAGAAAAAAACCCAAATTAAAAAAGAAAAAATTACAAGAAAATATAAATTAAAAGAAAACATTTTAAAATAAAAGAAAAAACAAATAAAAGTTTTAAAATTAGACTAAAAATTAAAAAAGATAAATATATTACAAAAAAAATAAAAATACTGGAGAAATTTAAAATTAACCAAAAAATTAGAAAAGGATTAAATTAAATTAGGAAAAAGTTCAAATAAAAGGAAAAAATTTAAATAAATTAAAATAAATTTCAAAAAAATTAAAATAGGAGAAAAATTTATATAAAAGAAAAAACTAAGCCAGTTTTGATAAAATTAGTTAATACATATGAATGTATTTTAGATACGCTTTTTATTGCCGCTAAAACAATTTTCGGTGCAGGGCGAAGGCTTCATACATGACGTTATTATTAGTTCACTAAGCAATTCAAAAAACGAATTTAACTAAATTAAATATTAAAAAATTAATAAATAAACATATTTAAAAATTTCAACAATTAAAAAGGAAAATATTAAAAAGAGAATTAAAGTATTAAAAATAAAAATTTAAAAATTAATAAAAAAAAAAATAATAAAAAATATACAAAAAACATTTAAAAAAAAAATAATAAAAATATACAAAAAACATTAAAAAAAAAAATAAAATTGAACATACTGAAAGTGATTAAAAATATTCCAAATAATATTTAAGTCATAATCTTAAATTAAGAAGAAAATATATAAAAATAATTTAAGTAAAAAATAACTGTCTCAACTAAGAAGTATTTTTTAAATGTAAGTGTGATGCGCAATTTTTTTTCCTTTTTTAACTTCGGATCATAGAAAATTTGCCCATTCGCATTCGGAAAGCCATTATTAAATTAAAGAAAATATATCTTACTAAATGCGTTGGCCCCTTGGTATGGGATGTCAAGCCCACCTTCTCATACAAATCTATCAGCAGGTGCCTTAGAACACTCTATTTGTTGGAAAAAACAACAAATCGGCGTAGGAACTGGGTTGAAAATCGCTGCAGCATTTACATTTGTATATAGAGTTCAGTGCTTATTTGAGCTAAAAAAAAAAAAAACGACGTAATATTTCACAACGGCCAACAACAACGACTGCAAACCGTGATTTTTTCAAATAAAAACTCATTTAAAACATTTCTCAATGACGTGAAAACAAACGCAACGAACGAAACTCAATAAGCATAATCATAAAAATATTACAACGCATGCATAGTTGTTGCAGTGAGTGTAATTGTTGTTGGCGCTTCGGCAGACGCTAGACTATGGAAAATAGAAAGTTTAATGTCAAAGTGAATAATAAAGTTGCAGTGAAGGTGTACATGTGTACGTGTATGTATGTACTATATGTAAAATGCGAAGGTGTAGGTCGTCATCGTGGTCTTCGTCCAATCATTTACGTGGACGTTGTTGTTGTTGTTGCTGGGCATTGCAACAAATGAAATGACAAATGCAGCGGTTTATTATTAACTTTTACCGTAAAAGCGCAAGCAAACAAGCAACAACAACAACAACAACAACAACAACAACAAAATCAAACAACCAACACTCCAATAATTTCCTGCAATGAATGGCTTAACAACAACACCACTCCCGTGCCCTTCCCACTATCTCAGCTCCTCACCAGCGGCATTTAACGCCGGTTTAACAACATTTTGCTTTTAATTGTATGTGTGTGTGTGTGTGTGTGTGTGTGTTGTATACCAACAATGTCGGCATTGCAGTCGCAATTATTGGCAGATACATCATCAATAGACAAAATTCAACTTGCCGTTGCTGGAGATGCTGCTGTGTTGTTCGTCGTCGCGTTTGCGGATGTGAGTACGACATTGCAGGTGTTTGATTTTTTTTTATGTCTAATAATGCTTTAAGATGGGTTTTTACGAAACAGCAAAAACAAAAACAACAACTCACTGTAGATGCAAATATAAAACTATATTGTACATACATATGTATCTATGTATGTATATATGAATGAGTTTCATTTGTTTGCCTTTCTCACATGCGCTTGTGGCTTATGCGCGTTTTATTTGATTTCCTGTGGGGAAAAGACAGCCGACCAGACAACACTTTTATAACTAATAGATACTTTAAATATTTTTCTTTATTACGATAATTTTAAGTGCTGCACATAGTAATTTTGCATGTTTTTTGTTGCGTCGAACGAGAATTTTGTATGATTAATTACATTAAATTAAAAAAAAAAATATATTATAAAATAATGTTAAAAATCGGTATTTTTTTAAAAAAGAAACTTACTTAAAGTTTGTAGTTGAGCGCACAGCCTCATAAAAACGTAGTTCTTTTTTTTAGCGAAACTAAAGCTTTCACAAACCCTTATTTGAGTGCTTTGAGTGTCATGGAAAGGCGATGATACAAAGTAGCTTGTAAACATCGGGACAAAATTGAAACGTAGAATTATATTTACAACTTCCATTATAATGAAATATTTTTTTTTCTCATTTATTATGCATTCAAACGCGAACTAAAAATTTTTTTACTAATCTTGAAAACTCTCACAGCTAGTAGCTCTTGAAGTCCCTCCTGTAGTAAATACTATTGTGGCCTTAGTTATATTCATAAGCTCAAATTAAGCAGCTATGAAACTCCAACTACTACGTCACACATTTCCCACCCTCTCTACAAGCTCGCCTCTCTTTCCCCATTTACCCTTTGACTCACTTGACAGGAATTTCTTAGCACAAACATTGCATTGCCGCGCATAGCAGCAACTTCCTCTTCAAAGCTTAACTAAAATATAATAAAATCAATGACGTGTAAGAAAAAGCAAGAAGGTAGCTAAAAACCCTAACAACAATAACGACAACACCGCCAACCACATGGAAACCACTACGCGGCAATCGATGCCAAATGCTGGATGATCATTGTTATGGACAAAAAGGAAATACAGAAAATGAAATAATCTCATGGTCAAAATACAAAGCGCGATTCCCAAGCCACAACAGAGTCAGAGCCCAGAGTAAGGAAAACATCCAACCATAGTCAGTCAGTCAGCCAGTCAGTCAGTCAGTTAGTTAAGCAGACAGACGCGATCCGACCGATCGTCAGTCCAAACAGACGAGGTATTTACTTAACAGAGCAACCAACCAATTGCAGTAACAACAACAAACAGCCAAATACAAAACTACAAATGCTCATACACACAGGGAATATAGGGAGTATTGTACGATTTTAATTTTTATGTTTGTCTGCGCGGTGGCCTATGTTGCAAGCCGACGGTATAGAAATATGTGGCAAACATGTTTTCGCCAACAGGGCGGGTAGTCAGTTCGAGAAGAGCTAAGTAGTGCGGCGTTCGGTGGAGCAAAACATCAACGAGTTAAAGATGCGGCGGCATCAACAAATATGGGAGTTGCCTTCGTTCAGTCTGTAGTTGTATGATTGCATGTATGCATGTACATATGTGTGTATGTGTGGTTGCTTGAAATAAAAGATGCTGCCAGAAATAAATGCTGCACCACTAAACTACAACACTGCTGTCTATGTCCGTTGTCGTCTTAGCAGCAGCTCACTACACAGCACAAAAGGGCTGTTCTCGCCCGCCGCTTGCTGCTAAACGTGAATTACCAACTCAACGCGCACGTCGAGTTTGACTTTGAAAATTCCAAGTACATATGTATGTACGGGCATGCGCGCTGGAAGGTGAAGGAGGCGAAGCGAGTGAGTATGAAGGCGGGCGCAGCAGACAACCCACAATTCATTCAAAAGCACATAATCAACGACGAGTGAGTGAACTAATAGACTCAATGGTGGGTAGCGAAAAAAAAGCAATACAAGAGAATGAAGAAATCCTCGAACGCGGAATCTGCCTGCAAGTTTTGGAATTTTTGTGGCCAACACACGGCCCCAACATTGGAAGAGTTTGGCGCTCTACTCACACAGCGCGATTGATGCATTGGCTGAAGAAAAAAAAAAGCTCGCATTGATTCAACTGGCCAGATTTATCTATCCTTCGATTAGCTTCTACCACACTCAGAACCGCACACACACATACATAACATAGAAATCATTTTCTTTTTATTCATTCTAAAGTACGCTTCGCGCACAGCACCGCCTTGCTTCGGGTGCGAAACAGTAAAATTGCTGGAAAATCACAAAAACGTGAGCGCATTTTTGCCTTTTCCTTTTGCACATTTTACGGCGCAACGGAAAGCCTCAACTAGTAAATTTAAAGATAGAATCAAACTTTTGCTTTTGTCGATATCCCTCAAGTCTTTCAGAGATTCTTTTTAACTCATTCGTCGTTTCGCAGCGCGCTTTACGCGATTTTCCAATGAAGCGTGTATGCGCTTTTTAATTTTCCACACCAAATCAAGCCACGCTCTCTTCGCTCCCTCAGCCGTTTTGCTTTGTGGTAAGCTCGAGGCAAAGCGCTTAAAGGCAATAATGCATAATATTGTAGAGCAATTGGCATTCTCTGCAAAGTCTAAGATATGTTGGCGACTAGAAAATACAAAACAGTTGTGCAGTTACATAAAAATGTAGCGAAGAAGGCGCAGAGGAGCATGAAGGTGAGACGGAAAGTCGGAATTTTAAGCGCTTATAAGGCAGGCGCGATGAAGACACACAGAGAGACAGGCATACCAACAACAAAACGTTGAAAGTACGAGTCGTTGGTAGTTAGTTGGTCGCGAGCAAGGACGAGGATCACACAGTACTGGCAACCAATAATTTCTGCAGCTGAAAGTGAATTTATGTATGGTTACAAATGCGCAAGCACGGTAGAATCGAG